AATTTTGCTTCTTTTCCTATTTTTTTCCTGTTTTTTCCTCATAATTTTGCTCTTTTTCTCTCTTTTTTTATTGGGTTGGTGAAGGCGTTTTTGTAGCTGTTATTTGTTAATAAAAATTGCTATTTTGTTTACTTTTTTAATAAAAATATTATTCTCTTTTCAGGTTCTGAAAATTCATGTCGATAATCATACACTCCGGAAAAATCATTTAAAAATGTTATTGTTGAATTATTTTGTTTCATTCTTTAATACTAAAATAGTGTTTAAAAACGCTTGATAATTATGCACCAACACAGTATTTTTTTCTCTTTTTCTGTTTCTTTCCGTTTCCTACTCTCTGTCCTTTTAAAAATTATATTTCAATATTTTTTTTTTTATTCTTAGGTAATAGATAATCAATTATTATTAAATTTTTGACTAGTACTTCTATAATATGGACGAATATTCGTAGAAAAATTAATGACAGTCAATGCTTTATCACCGATATTCAAAAGAATATTATTGTTACTGTAACTACTAACATTTCGTTTGAAACAAAGAAAAGGATGTCGTACTGCTATGTCATATCTATCTTTCAATATGGGAGTGAATACTAGACCATTTCCTTAGAGATGAAGAAGAGACTCGAAGTGACAGATGCAGTTTTATAGAAGAATGCTGAGGATCCCGTATACGGAAGACGTGAACAACGAGAAATCTTTAAAGAAAATGCGAGCTAGAAATACACTGATATTTACTATCAGGAAAAAAAACAGTTGAAATTTCTGGGACACATTATGAGGAATTACAGCTTGGAAAACTTAATAATCACAGAGTGTATTGATGAAAGGAGAGGTAGAGAAAAGCAGCGAGCTACTTACATAATGAGCTTATGTGAGTGGATAAAGGAACAGGGACAACGAGAGATAACGAATCAGAAATGGCAGGAAGCTGTAGATAGCCATGATTGCCTTGTCTTCGCATTGGCCATATAAAAATTATACTTTTTATATTCAAACAGGAGAGACAGCTTGAACAAACAGAATTCCAATCCATATATACATATAAGCATACTGGTTGTGGGGATCTCGCTCTTACTAGACACCGATTTATAATGAGAGCATCATGAGGAAACGGTTTGAAAAACGTCGATGTTGATGACCTGCTATCCTTGACAGATGATAGTCGGTTATTACGGCGCCTAAATAAGAGGAATAACATGCAAGAAAAAATAGTAAAGACAGTGATGTTTTCATACATTATAAAAATAAAGTTTAAATTTTTATTTTGAATCGTAAATAACTGTCTGTTCAAAATTTGATGCCATTCTGCAGTCAAGTTAAATGCTTATTTTCATTATTTCTTGTTAGTGATGTTAAATCTGACCTGGAATATATTTATTTTCTAACCACAGCTGACGGACCAGACTTATAGTGGGAGGTTCTGTGAGTGCGACGATTACCACTGCGAACAATACAATGGTGAACTTTGTGGCGGTAGGTAACAAACAAGAATTGTGTTTAAAGAATTGAAGACAATGTTTATTTTGCGATGTCAACGAACACTAGTTTGACAGTTTTGTTATGCCAACGAATACTATTTGTCACTTTCGTAATGTCCGTTGTAGTAGAGACTTTGTAATCGCAGATAAAACTATAGTACGCCGTTGAAAAATGCTGGTGTCAGACGCCTTCGTATAATACTCGATCTAATAATACTTGCTCGATAATACTCGTTCGAATAGTAATCCGTATAGTGATATGAATAGAGCAATAGTATATTGAATTGAGTAGAGAATAGCGGTCTGTATGAAAATAGAGGATAGAATAGAAATGGTGATCAATTAGACACACGCTACCTCTCATATATGCGTTTCTTCTATGGTCACGTGGTCTACTTAATTCAATAATGGGATCGCCTGTTTTTACTCACTGGCGAACTATGTTCAAACGCAAGTGTCGGTAGTGATACTTTATTCCTATATCACAGTTTAACATAAGTACCAAAAAAAAAAAAAAAAAATTCAAAAACGGTTTTTTTTCTTGACACCGCTATTACTGTATACTCTCTCGTTTTCATCGGTATTATTTAATATTTTAAAAAGTTATGTTCAAAATTTTAATAACCACAATAATGTTACGCATTTAGTTGATAGAATGTTTATTTACACAATCATAAGAAACGTCGTGGCCGACCGACATTTGGCCAACAGACAATGTTCTCCCGTCCGATTGTGGAACTTCCCGTATGTGGAACTCCCTACCTCTTATTTGCTTCCCTGATAGCTATAATCTCCAACTCTCAAATGCAATGTCAACTGACATCTTCTGATCCTTTGATCACATTTTCCTCGGTAATATTTAATATTTTAAAAAAGATATGTTCAAAATTTTTTCAAGTTCCACAATCGGACGGGAGAACATTGTTTGTCGACCAAATGTCAGTCGGCCACGACATTTTTTATGATCTTGTAAATAAACATTCTATCAACTAAAAGTGTAACATTTGTTGATGTATATATATATATATATATATATATATATATATATATAATTGGTATGAAGAAATATAGTCTTAAGGTATGCTATATTTATGGGATAAAGTACTCAATATCAGAGATAGAGCGTGTGTAATATAATATAAAAAAGTGAACATTGAATTCAATACTCAGAGGCGACAGGCTGTTTCATGCTGGACGCAATAGTCAGGCCTGACGATTGCATATAGCATGAAACAGACTGTCGCCTCTAAGTGTTGACTTCTATGTTCACTTTTATATTTATATATAATTGGTTACGGTTTTATTCATTTCAGAATATGTTTCTAATAAAACAATATAAATTTGTTTTATTTTGTACGCTTTATGCAGAATTTGAATTTATTTATCTTTAGAATGATGTAAAAATTTATATTTTTCAACAGCTTTAAAAAATTTAATGCTGGATTAATTTAAATTATCCATATATGCCGGGAAAGAAGTTTAAGACTGCTTAGTTATTATGCTAATTATTTGCATCACATGGCTGGTCATTAATGCATTATATAGTGTAATAACTGAAAATTGTTATGCATTTAATTTGCTATGGGAAAGCGTCGTAGTGTTAGCTCAGTGACTAGATCAAATATAGTGTTATTTCATCAACAAAACGTTTCCTTTATGAACATAAGCAAGCAATTAAAGTGCGACAGAACGGCGTCTGTTCAGGCTTGGAAGCTTTACCAGGATACTGGACAATATAAGGATAGGCAAAGATCAGAAGCAGCAAGAAAAACAATAGTGCCACTGGATAGACGAATTCATAGGTTTTCCCAAGCTAACCGAATTCTGACGGCTGTGGACGTTTGCAGACAATTATCTGGTCAAACTGGTGTTAGTTTTACGCCGCAAACTGCCCGAAACCGTCTAAGAGAATTTGGATTATTCGGGTGCATCGCTAGAAAAAAGCCAATTATTTTGGAGAGGAATCGACTCAAGTAGCTGAATTTCGGGAAAGGTCACATTCAATGGACGGCCGACGACTGGTGAAGAGTTCCTTGGGGTAACTAGTCACACGATTTTATCTTTGGACCGGATAGAAAAACCTTTCTCAGACGCCGCCCAACCGTGAATTCCATCCTAAATGTGTCAAAAAGACGGTGCAAGCGGGAGGCAGGGGTTTAATACTGTAGTGTTCGTTCAGTAGCTTTGGTATTGGTCCAATTGTTAAAGTTGATGGAAAACTCAACAGTGTCGGCTATATACAGCTAGTTAAGGAACATGTTCTCCCATATTTGACTGACCAAATACCACCTTGAGCTATTTATCAACAAACTAATAGCCCCATTCACAAAGCCAAAAAAGTAATTCAATTTTTTCATCACCATAATATGGATGTCATTGAGCGGCCTCCACAGAGTCCGGATCTTAATCCAATTGAAAATTTATGGAATTATATTTCTAAAAGAGTTCACGCTAAAAAACCGACAATTTTAGCTCAATTTTACGATTATATTAAGCAAATATGGCAGAGCATTCCAGATGATTTTTGTGCTCACTTATCAAGCTCAATGCCTAGGCGATGTGAAGCTATAATTATTAATAAAGGTTACGGCACTAAATATTGATATTTTTTTGCTCTTTTTTATTCAATATTTTTTAATTAAATTACAAAGTGACTTTATCTTTACGTTGATGATATTCTTACACGATAACTTTAGCAGTTGAAAGCATTATTTTCTTATCTTTTTAGGTGTTGAAAGAGGAACTTGTCATTGTGGCAAGTGCACATGTCGAGAGAATTTTACCGGATCTGATTGCTCGATCTCAATGTCTGACGATAAATGCCGATCTTCAAATGGGGTCAGTATAGTGATTTAGTTATACAGTAAAAAAATTCTTGTCTGAGTGAAATATACGAAGATCAATTGAAAAGTTCATAGACTGAATATGAAAGAGTTATTTTGGTTTGGTTTGGTTTGTTTTACGGCATATCAACCTCAATGGTTATTTCATGCCGGCAATTTTTATTGCTGTTAATATTTTTTTCCTTCAAAAATCTTTTTATAGTCACATTTTTTCCTTCAAAAATGTATCGTTGGTAATATTTTTTTCAGAAATGTATAGCTAACAATATTTTCTCTTTTTTTTTCCAAAATGTATTTCTGGTAGATTTCACAGCTCTAGCATCACTTCTTCATAGTCAGCCTAACATTTCAGAACATTTGGAAAGAAATAATTCACTTATTAATAAGAAGGTTTGAAATTAATGCATGCAAGATTTCACATTTCACTCGTACTTGAACATTTCAGCCCAAAAAGAAACAATGCAGTTTTTAATACGAAGAGTTGAAATTAAAACACGCAAGATTTCACAGCTCTAGAATCAATCTTTCATAGTCAGCCTATAAACATTTCAGCCCAAGAGTAGTTGTCTCTACCTGTCTCTGGCACCCAGTGAGACAAGCCAACACGTGACGATGAAATTCTAGTTAATTCGCTGACATGGCTACTCTCGATCATCAAACTCCCTCTCACGCTCTCTGCTTTCCTCCGAGAAATGATGTTAAAACGAGGCAAAATAAAGACATTTCTTCCGTCGTCCATGCAGCCTTTGACGTAGCGTTGGGGTTGGAATAACTGAAACCAGAGAAGACAGTAAACTCAACACCTTATAATTGGATATTCACATGTGAATCTTTAAATATTCTGTGTACAATTATTATATTACTACGCAGTCATTAATTCTGGATAGTTATTTTCCTAATAACGATATTAAATAGCCGACCCAGTTTATCTCTAATAGAATCTTAGATGTAAAGTTAATACTAGTAACTCCATGCTGTCAAAAAATTACTCAATATTTTGTTAAACTCTTTCTATTAGTAGTTTGTTCATACGTGACACTTTAAATGTATTTTTTTGCAATTATTATATTAATATATATTTGTGGGGTTCCAGTTTATTACTGATAATAGAATGATCCCCTGCTTTATATGTTGTAAAATATATTAATATTCGTTTACCCACATCCTAGTCCTAGGTATGACGATAAACTACATCCGGCAGCAAGGCCTCTGATTGGAAGACTTGAGGAGAACGGAACTACCTCATAATTGCTGTTGCTCCCAGGTCCACCCTGACCCCGGGGGTGGTAGCACCTTTTAGGGTCCCAGCTATGGGAAAATAGTGAACCCCCAAATAAAACCAAAACATGAAAATATAAAAATACATCTTTATAGTAAAAAACGCCCAGCAATATATTTTTATATAAAAAATTACCAACTACACATATTGATAGTAAAATTACCAACAATATACTATTTACATTGTTCGGACTATTGTCCTCATCTTTGTTGACATATATATCACAAAGTTTCGGCCGTTGTACGCTCCGGTCTTCTGCAGGTGGTTGGAATGTCGAACTGAACCCTTTATTTCGCTCGCTGGGGTAGACTGTTCTAGATCCACGTGCCATGTTTAATGGATGTCAGTTATCAGTTATCCCCTGTAAATTCTCTTCTCTAAGCTCTCCTCCGCCTTAACAAGGTATTGAACTCACACTCTTTAGGTCCTGTCATTGGATCTAACTAACGCCTTTATCCACTGATAAAATACAATATATATATATACACAATATATATATATATAGACAAAATACACGTTATATGTAGTTGAAGGTATACAAATGCGTTCGAAATATTTTGATTTCAGCATTAAATAACATATAATGGTGTTGATATGACGCTAAACATAATCAACCAAAAACCAATAACCTACGTCTTAAAAAAATGGCCGCAGGATTTGTTAGATTCTTACTGTTATTCGAAAGTTTTGTCTTGAAAAGACCTGTAGGAACTTGAACAGGACGTTAGACGAACCTAGCTACGTATATTGAGAAGAAAAATCAATTAGCAAATAAAATTTCAGAATTCAACCGGATTCGTTAGAAGTATAGAGTTGAAATAGACTTTAGAATGAACCGGAAACCCAATGTAATACTCACAGGATAAGTTAAAGGCACAAGAGGAAGAGAAAAAAAAACAACGTCTAGCCTATCTAGCTGGCTTTTACAAATGGATGACAGAACAGGGTTTAGGAGAGATAACAAAAAACACAATTTATTAAAAGCTACAAAGGACAGTAAATTATGGAGAGCCATAAACACTAACGTCCTAAAGAAAAACAGTACATAGAAGAAGTGTTTGAGGGGTCCTCCCCTTTCTACCCAATTGGACTCACATATACTTCTGCTACGTGAAGACCCGAGAGAGTGAAAGGTTGTAGGTAACCGGAAGAGTGAGGGTGAGTTAACAGCATTGTAGGTAACCGACAAAAGGTGAAGGTAACAGACAGACAGAACGAACGTAGCGAGCAAGAGTCACAGTGAGCGAGCATGTAGACTCAGTAAGAAGTCATACAGCGATACTTCAATACCAAAGGCTGATATATATATTTTGCTACTAACCCGTATTCCTGGAACTACTAACCTGTATTTCCAGTTTGTATTATTACGTTAATACATTATGTTCCTATATTCATTCTTGGCGTTTGTTATTTATTGGAACCGGATTTCATCCCGGAATCCACAACAAGAAGAATGTACGAACACCTGAGTAAGGTTTGATTATTGTTTATTTTAGTTTATTATTTATTTTTTATTCTATTTTATTATTTATTTTTTTATTTATTTATTGTATTGTAGGCAATTTGCTACGGTCGCGGAATGTGTGTTAATAATATGTGCCAATGTCAGCCTGGCTACAGTGGATCAACGTGTGAGCACTTAGAGGTATGTTTTCTTTCTTTCCAAATCTTTTCTTTCGCAGGCTTAATATAGTTTTCTTTCGTTCTTTTTTCATTCTTTATTTGTTTGTTTCATTCGTTTTTTCATTCTTTCGATCATTCTTTCTTTTTCGTTTATTCTTTCTTTTTTTTCGTTCATTCTTTTTTTTCTTTCGTTCGTTCTTCATTCTTTCGTTCGTTCATTCTTTCTTTTTCTTTCGTTCTTTTCTTTTTCTTTCTTTCGTTTCTTTTTTTCTTTTCGTTCTTTCTTTCTTTCGTTCTTTCTTTTCTTTCGTTCTTTCTTTCTTTCGTTCTTTCTTTTCTTTCGTTCTTACTTTCTTTTCGTTCTTACTTTTCGTTCTTACTTTCTTTCGTTCTTACTTTCTTTCGTTCTTACTTTCTTTCGTTCTTACTTTCTTTCGTTCTTACTTTCTTTCGTTCTTACTTTCTTTCGTTCTTACTTTCTTTCGTTCTTACTTTCTTTCGTTCTTACTTTCTTTCTTCTTTCGTTATTTCATTGTTTCATTCCTTTCGTCCGTTTATTCATAATTTCGTTCATCCTTTCGTATTTTCATTCTTTCGTTTTTTTCTTTCTTTCGTTCGTTCTTTCTTTCGTTTTTTCATTCATTCTTTCTTTCGTTCTTACTTTCTTTCTTTCTTTCGTTATTTCATTGTTTCATTCCTTTCGTCCGTTTATTCATGATTTCGTTCATCCTTTCGTTCGTTCATCCTTTCGTCCGTTCTTTCTTTCGTTCGTATTTTCATTTTTTCTTTCTTTCGTTCGTTCTTTCTTTCGTTTTTTCATTCATTCTTTCTGTCGTTCTTTCTTTCGTTATTTCATTTTTTTCATTTTTCGTTCTTTCTTTCCTTTCGTCCGAACGGTTCTTCATTCTATCATTCGTCCGTTCATTCATATTTTCCTTTTCTCACTCTTTTTTTTCTTTAATTCTTTGATTCATTTTTCTTTCCTTCATACTTTCTTTCGTTCTGTCGTTCAGTCTTTTGTTCATTCAAAACGGTTAATCAACGTCATACCAAGGAAAAGAACTCGACATAAACTTTGCCAAAAAAGAAGCTATGATTTGCAATTGGAATGAAATCAGTGACGTCACAGACACTAAATCAATAATAAAAATGCAGTATGTTGAATTAGCAATTACTAATCACTTCAAATACTTACCTGGCACAGGGCTCGTCCCTGGGCTGGTAAGTATCACTGCCAGGACTAGCTTAGACCAGCTCTGACCAGCTTGGACAAGCTATGACCAGCTAAGACCAGGTGTAGACCAGTGACCCGAGTGGAAACATTCGGGTTCCCCACTTTAAAAACTGACCTTGTGTCACATCCTGACTCAGTCGGGGGGGGGTCAAGTCAATAGCTACTAATCACTTCAAAGACCTCAGCGTATAGATTAGTTATAACAAGTTTACTATAGGAGAAAAGGAAATTGAAGATAGAATCCAATGAGCTAAAGATAGTTTCGCCTTAAACTGCAAACAGTTACAAAACCCAAACACGCATCATGTTCTTAAATAGCATCGTAAGATTGAAACATTCATATGAACATCATGTATGGCGTTAAACACGTACATCTAAACCAAAGTCTTCAAACGGAGTCCGAGCGACCCCCTTAGATCGGTGAATAGTTCCATGGGTTCGATGAGCATCAAGGGTTCAAAGTGGTGTCGGTATTCGAATGACACTGAGCTAAATTTTAGTTAGAATCCATTTATGTTGTATTCTTCGGTCCAGATGAAAGGCGCTGGTATGCTAATTCAATTTAAAAATAATTTATTTTATATTTTAGGGGCTACCTTGGAATTTAACTCGTTATTGTATTGAAAGGTACGTATTTTTCTTTTTCTCTGAAAGAATCGAATAAATGCCGGCTGATTGCTAACTTGTTTCCTGAGATATTAAATCTTTTTGTGTGCGTGTGTGCATCTCTGACTACAGAAAAAAACGATTGAAAAAAAAATTATTACTATTCATTACTATCTCTCTCTCTCTCTCTGTCTGTCTGTCTTATGTATATATATATTGTTACGAACTTGTAGCATATAGATGAACCACGGGTTTAAAAAAAAAAGGAAAACGTGGGATCCTTTTTCGGTCTTCACTCAGAAATGGGAGCGACACAAGGGAATCAACGAAGAACAGACACAAGACGATGGATTTTAAAATAAAACATTTATTTATAGATATATAAACAGATAAAAAAAAGGAACATTCATTTAACAAAGGGGAAGAGGATCATTAAAGAACAGAAGGCGCGAGCGAATACATACATATATAAAAACAGATCAAACCAAGAGAATCAACTTATCTTTCAGTCGAGTTGATATTTTCACACAAAGTTTGATTCGCCGAATCGAGAATACTTATGCTACAACAATGTTTTGGCCGGCCGGCAATTTTCCTGGATTCCTTTTCTTTCACAAGGGTTCGATGGTTCACAGCATCTCGTACAGGCGTTTGGTTGGGTTGATTCAGTTTCATAGCAGTCCTTTCACCCCTAGTCGACAGACTTTGCTGTCTTCTTCATCTCAGTGGGCAGTCTGACGATTTTGCCCAGCGACGTTCAACTGCCGCTGGTCAGAGGGAAACTGAAAATCCTTTTTTAGATTTTCGCAGTACCCAAAAACAGTCACGTGGGTTCCCTTCGTCCTTGACCGGGTACACAGGAGGATGGGGCGCAAATCACGCAGTGTCTGTGTGATGGCCAAAAGTTCAATACACGCTTAGTATGTTCTGATCACGTGAATCGCAGCAGGAGATCCTGATGGTGCCTGGAATTCACTTATGGTCAAACGCCTGATAGCTGCTAAATTTTGGAACCAGGTCATTCTCTCGTCGGGTTACTTCAAAGTTCACGGGCCCTTGGCTTATGGGTGGAAGAGTAGGTAAAGAGGAAAAGAATTTGTGAAGAGAAGAGGAGGGTATGGCTGATCATGGAACATATTCGCTCACAAGTCGAAAGCATTGGATTAAATTTCTATATTTATTTATTTTCTTTTATATCTAACTAATTTTCGACTAGAATTTAAGATTTTACTTTGGGGTGCTTCTTAGCCTAACGCCTATATGGTTAATGAAATCGGGGCTACGTGACATATATATATATATATATATATAGAGAGAGAGAGAGAGTATAAAAAGGCTCAAACACTAATATATCATGGTCTTAATTTTTTACACTGGAATCGTAATGACGATCTATTTCATCATTTGTAGGTGTGATGAAAATTACACCGTGATTACGATTCCAATGTAATAATATTCTTTATCTGTTTTGGACATTGAGCGATCATGCTTTGAAATTTATATATATATATATATATATATATATTGCACACACACCACACACACACACACACATTTTTATATATATTCTTTATCTGTTTTGGACATTGAAGAACTCTACCTGGATTCGGGTAGTCGAGACAGTTTGAAATTTATATATTTATCATATATATATATATATATATATATATATATATATATATATATACAAAGGTATTTTGACACACCATTACACACACACACACACATATATATATATATATATATATATATATATATATATCCACACTAAAAAAAACTCTGTGTGGATGTTTTATTGAAATTATTATATAGGTAAAACAATTGCCTTTCTTTTTTTGAAACCTTCACCACTATAAACTCAAAACAGCCACGTCTCATGAACACAACTGGAACGAGTGGTCGGATTCCGAAAAACTGAACCGATCTGCTTGACCTCATGACGTCGAAAACAATCTTCTGAACATTACTGTGTTTTTTTTTAGTTGTTGCATGGTCGTAGAAGACTTGTTCGATAAAATGTCTTTCGCATTCTGCCATGAGAGCTTTCACGGTTATGTTTTTGTCCTGCTCTAGTTTAGACAATAACTGTGTGCATACATCAGAGTCATATAGAGATTTATGTCCAGTGACGAAGATGAGACATTTAAATTTCTCTTCAGTTAATGTCTGAAACTGGAATTTCTCACATTCACGATTAACGTAGCCTACGAAAATTACTTAGTCCTCTGACTCCGTTTTCGTTATTTTTAAACAGTTGAATCTGATGTGAATAAGAATTGACTGCTGAATACCGAAAATTTCGGTTAAATGGTCAACGGTTTCCGTGAACGTTAAATCTGAAGACAATTTGGGCAGAATAAAATTTCTGAAACGCTCGTATTCTTTAGTTCCTACTTTACGGAGCAAAAATCTTTATTACCACGCGTCATCTTTGTGTGAAAAATCGCGTTCGAAAGTGTCTTTCCAACGTTGAAACCACGGAGAAAAATGACGTTATTAGAAGAATCGTACTCGAACGGCGAAAAGAGATTGCTAGGAAATCTAATTTGCTGAGTTTTGGGCAGCCAGTTGAATTTGAAATTGCTGTGTCAGAGCTGTTATTAAATTCAGTTGAGATTTCATAAAACTGTTCTTGCTGCTGACGCAAAATCTCTTTTAACTTGTCTGACGAAACGGCCATGTTTTTTTTTTTGTTTTTTTTTCTGTAAAGAAAAGATAAGTGAAAAATAATTTAACATTAAATTTCACTCACCAAAACAGGTCAAATAAAAATAAATAATCCCCGTCGCCAATTCTAATGAATTACTTTTACTTTGCAACTTAAACCAAGGGAAAGTAGGGTTTTCAGAGATAAAACGAACACGCGTGTAGAAACAATAATAGATTTATTTGGTCCTCATGTTACATTTTCTTTTCTTCCTCCCCCAAACAGACAACTGCCTCCTTTTACTGAGAGCGTTATTTTTCACTCTTCTCTATCAATGGCTATATTATTTCATGATATATTTATGTGCGTGTGTGTATGTGTTTTGGCAGAATGCATTGTTAAAGATACGAAATTTTTCGTTTAATAATCTTTTTTCTTCCGACTTTCTTGCTTTCTCGTATGTTTTTTTGTTTTATATTTGGGTCTAATTTGTTGAAATAAGAGCCTAATCCATGGCGTTTTGCCGAGCGCTTTCGGCTATAAAACTAAAAACCCAACATAAATAAAACAGTATTTAATACTGGCAGAGACATCTTAAACATATTTGATAACTAATCCTCCAAATAATAAACACTAAACCCCTTCCTTATTACTAATAATGAACTATTACATCACGTTGTCTAAGTACCCAAAACATTATCTATAAAACTAAAATAATAAGCAACCTATTACAAATCAAAACATACAGCCATGATGACGGTTGACGATAACGGAAAACGCTTGGCAAAGCGCCATGAACTAGGGTCTTATTTCAACAAGTTAGACCCAAATATAAAAAAAAAAGTTGTGAGAAAGCAAAATAAATAAATAAATAAAATAAACAGAGAAAAGATTATAAAAAAATTTCGTGGTCTTTAACAACACAAGACTTTATATATATATATATATATATATATATATATATATATATTGTGCATATATATATATATATAGGCTTTAACAACACAAGCACAAGACCATATATATATATATAAAGTGAATATAGAAGTCAAAACTTAGAGGCGACAGACTGTTTCATATATATATATATATATATATATATATATATATATATATATATATATATATATATGGTGTTCCATGTTTTCTGCTTTGAGTTTCGCGAAGATTACATCCGCACAGGATATTTTATTGTAAACCTGAATTCATTGACAGAATATGTCGAATAACGTAAATATTAAATAACTTCTGTCAATAAATGTTGTTTTACAATTCACTTTCCTGGCGCATGGATGAAAACTTCGGGAAACTCAAAATACAGACAAGATATGTGAACATTAAATTTATTTATTACCATATGTATTAAATCTATGCTGTGTTATGGGGTAATTTTTTTTGTTTTACGTATTTTCAAAATAAACTTTCTAAATCTTTATAATTCGTAATCGCTATAATTTTTTTATAATATTTTATTTTTGATAGTGGCAAGACTGAAGTGTGTTCCAATAGAGGAAAATGTGTTCAAGGAAGTTGCAGGTGCGAACAATCGCATCATGTAAGTAAAATCACGAGTTTTTCTTTCCGTCTTACTGAAATGTTACGTGACATCTGTTCTTTACGGCGGCGAATTTTGGACGATTTCCTCAAAGATGAAGAAGAGACCCGAGGCGACGGAGATGTGGTTCTGCAGAAGGATGCTAAGGATATCATGGACGGAGCATGTGAGCAACGACGTGATCTTAGAGAGGTTCCAAACAAGAAGGCTTATACTTAACATCAGAAAGAGGCAGCTGAAGTTTCTGGGACCCATAACGAGAAAGGAGAGCCTAATAGTCACGGGTCAAATAGAGGCAAATAGAGACAAGGGAAAGTAGCGCGTGAAACACCTGACGAGCTTGAGCAGGTGGATGACAGAGGAAGGAAGCAGAGGGAAGGAACTTGTTGAAAGCTGCAAGGGATAGAGGGAGGTGGAGAGCCATAATCGCCTACGCCCTGAAAGAACGTGGCACATAAAAAGAAAAAAAAGGATAAGATAGACAAGAGATTACGACCATATCACGGTGAATATACCTGTTCCCGCCCTATTACGGTGATTTAAGCTTAAGTTGTCAAATACACTTAATCATGACTAAATATTCCATAATTTATTAGAATAAATTCATATCGGCTAACCATATCATCAGCAATAACGAAAACAAAAAGCTTATAAAAACAGAAGTACAGTGTAACCCGGATGTAAGAGAGTTGTCGGGACCGGAGAAGAAGTCTCTTATATCCGGGTTTCTCTTATATCCGGGTTTGGTCTATTATATATATATACATTAACACAGGCTCTAATTTGGGACCAGAGAAAATCTCTTATATCCGGTTTTCTCTTATATCCGGGTCTCTTATATCCGGGTTACACTGTATATAAAACCAATATTATTTATAAATTATGATGCTGGAAAACAATTTCAAAAATGATGTCTCGCTTATCCCAACGGCTGACCGTAAAACTCTGAGACCAGAGCTCCATAAGGTCCCAATTAAACCAGCATGGAAAACCTACCAACCTCGATATTCAACTCATTGGGGAAACTGAAGTAAATAAAAATAACTAAACTGTTACCTGCCATGGCGTGCACTACCTAGTCCAGATCCAAACTATTGTGATTAGAAAACAGATCTCATACGGATCTCATCTGAATATTTGCCATCGAAGTAATTATCTTAAAAACAGACATTGATGTATATATGAATACTGTAAATTGCGGCACACAAGCCGAGTTTTTAAGCCTATAGAAATATTTCTTAAACTAAAGGTCGACTTATATGGTGAGTATAAAATGCAAATCTGACCACCGAGTTCTAAACAATTAGAACAGCACGTATAATAATTAATGTACACCACTTACTGTCAGTCCAGCAGGCTTTCACAAATATATTCCATTGTCTTCGGTTAACATATCTGGCATATTAACACAGATATTAATACAAAACAATAAAATAATGTTATATTAACGCTACAGGAAACATCGCTTCCAAAAACAATGACCGAAGAGGCGTTTAATTCAGACGACCAATGTTGAAAAGATATGGAGTGTGTCATTTGCGCAATTTCATGAGTAATGGAGGCATGGCGGTGTAATGGATATCGGCTTAGATTGAGGAATCGGAGAACCGAGTTCGAATTCCAATTGAATCCATTACATTCACTTACGTGCTAATAACCTATGGAATGGTACGAATCCTCCTATTCTCCCACCAGCTATGGGTAAATAACAGGACAGAATACGGTCTCTAGTCTTGGATGGTAACTGGTCTATCGCAGGCAAACTACTGCGGGAAAAATATCTGCCTCGTCAGTCATGTATCGAAAGATATATGACCGCCTAAGCGTGTATGACGCATGGCACATAACTGATAAACCGGCCAATATGCAAAAAGGCAATTTCGTCTATTTTTATAGTGGCGTTAATTCAAGTAGGTTGGAGATAGCTGAGATTTTATTAAATAACTATCGGTGTACTAGGTCTTATATCAAAAAGTTCTTGGTATTGAAGAAGACTCACTCTGACGATCACCCTAAGATTTCAGAGTCAATTTATAAAAAGTCACTACCTCTAAAAACAGAATCATAAGAAGCTGTTATGTTTAAATATGATTTTGACATTGCGTTATATATATATATATATATATATATATATAATATGTGTGTGTGTGTAAATCAAAAATGGACGCATGGTGGAGGAATTGGAGAAACGAGTTCAAATTCCAGTCGAATACTTTACATTCACTTACATGCTAACGCCCTTTGGAATGGTATCAATCCTCTTCTTCTCCGCCTCCAGCTATGGGTATATAGCAGGACAGTTCTGTAGCCTTGGATAGCAACTGGTCTGCCGCAGAAAGAAATCGGAAATTACTGCGGGAAAAGAATCTGCCTTGTCAGTCATGTATCGAAAGATACATGATCACTTAAGCGTGTATCACGCATGGCACATAACTGACTGACTGAGATTTTAATAATACATTATAACAGTTTACTATAGCCTAACTTCATTTACTGGTCGGCCTAATTTTTGGGGCGTTTTATATTTGGGTGTCCTCCTATATGATAAGTATACGTCTAAATCAGAATTTTGAGCTAAAAGTCTTGCGCTCGACTTGTTTGCTGCGATTAACATTAATTCGTAAAGACAAGGGGTTAACACCCACGCTGAGAATCACTGCCTGACACTATTTCGCCTACACTTCAAAAGAAAGATAACAGTGAACTAAGTGACCATCTGTGTGCACGTCATCTTAGCTGCTGTTTTCTGTTAAATATTTTAAAAGAGTCTTTCTTCTGGCTGCTGTGTATATTTTTAAAATATCCACTCGACTACCTGTGACCTGTTGGGTCACTGAAGGTTCCGGTTATAAAAAATTGAAGTTGATTTCAACTTTCCATTGAAATGAAAGATTACTTTTTCATGACACAGTTAAATATTTCAATTTGTTCGTGTCATCATTGGTCTGGTTTACAAGTTCATGTTTAATGTTTTACTGAATGTTTACAGCATTTAACAGGAATAGGACTTTCGGGATTAACCTGAAATTTAATTCAGATTAACTTTATTTTTTTTAATATGCCAAAAGTCATATTCACTTGAATATATATTTTTCAAATATGCTAAAATATATTTTTAAATGTTTAAAATATTGTTTGTTTAAAGAAAGCCAAAATATAAATAATTACTCTACAAACAACTGGACGAAAAAGCAAAGCGTGATCTCTTTGTGTCTGTCTTTAACGTTAAAATATTTTAGTTAAAAAATATCTGTTTGAAGAAAGTTAAAATCAAAATACTTACTGTATAAACAATTCGTATTTTCAAAACTTATTCACTTAAATCAGATTATCTTAAATTTCTATACTCCGGACGGATGCACTACACAAGCACGCACGCATTTTAAGTACAGAGATTAAACATGGTGTCTTAATTAATAAGCAAAGAACGAGGTCAAAATAGTGACATCAAGCGAAAACAGTAATAGATCGTTATATCCGCAAGTTACGACAGAAAAAAAAGAAAAAATCAAACATTAACCTGAAAACAGAAGTATCATCAAATCGAGACTTTCATATGAGTGCCATGCCAAACTCAATCCTCCCTATTCACTTTCTCTCACTTCTACTCCCTGTAGCCACATTGCTTGGGGTGAACTGATTAAAAAAAAAAAAAAAAACTTACAGAAATGGAACTCAAAATCTGTCTCAACATTTGCACTGGGGAAGGCGTCGCTATCTGCTTTTGATTTATTATTGGCTAAAGTCAAATAAAAAATAACTGGGGAATCCAGTAAGGATCGAACTCACTGCACATGCGAACCCGTCAAGCTTGATAGCAACTGCACATCAGGAGGCTTTAACTACAGGATGCGATGGGTAAATTATCGCCATTTAATATTTTTAATTTTGCCCATGCGCGTTGTTGTTTTTGATTTTGTCTAATACACAGTATTGTAGGGTCAGTTGGACACCATCTGTGAGAAAAAGATAACAATGACTGAAATCACTGCGCTAGAAATTTGGAAACGGCATGCTGTACTGCTTGACATTCGCGACGGAAGCTCTAACACGAGTATTTCGGGGTGTTCGGGTGTCAATCTGCAAAATGCAACACAAGGTGGAGAACCCAGCCATGTCTCAAACAATTTTTCCGACCATATCACTACTTACATCTGACTTCATAACTCCCCAGTCTGTAACCCCACTTGATTATGGTGATTACAAAGGTACAGCTGCTCGGAAAACTCAATCTGATCGTTCTGATAGGAAATCTCCCGAATTTGTTGGTGAGGGCATCACTCAACACGGATGCTTACATTAAGTGTCCTGAGGAGGTAATGCTATCCTGGATCAAGAATGTGATTGCTAGAAGATCTCATGTCTGGCAACAGGACTCTTCACTCTGCAACACAAGCAGGAGAACCAAGTCATAACTGTCAAACAATTTCTGCGACGCCATCACACCTTATATCTGGCTATCTAACTCCCCAAACTGCATCCGCCTTGATTATTATGTGCGTGCGCAGTTGAGAGAGAAACTAACAAAACTCCTTGTAACACCAAAGATGAACTTGTTGAAACTTGGATAAGCATGGAATAATAATAATACAACACAAAATGTACGTAAACAAAATGTATTGAAACAAGGAAAAGGTACACAATATTTACAGTTAGTTTTGGTATATTCTTGGGAAGACTGTTCCTGCAGAATGGGTTGACTTAATCGCAGTCGGGCAGAGTCTCGATTCGATCTCTTCTTACTAACCCCCGTCTTCCCGGTACCAACCCATATTTATATGGTCGGTACTCCACTTATGTAAATTAGGTGGATCGTACACAACAGAACTGAAGACAAGGATTATGGCAGCATTCACTATCTTAAAGAGACAGTCCAGAAGAGATGCATAAGAGTCCGAAGTCGTTTTGAGGCCATCGTTGAAGCCAATGGTGATTTTATTAATACATTTACTCTTTAGCATTTCAAGGTATTTTTGTGTAACTTTGGTAAATATATCTGTTAAAATGAGATGTCAGTGTTATTTTCTTTTTGCGTCTTTTAGCCGACAACATATGTATTGCATCCTGTAAATAACCACTTGCACTTGGAAATTGTTTACAGTGACTTTAAATCAAAACAATCAAAAACATCCCACTTGATAAAACAATACGGATTTTGAGCTGAATTTACACAAAGCTTTTGTTGTTTTCATTTCTAACAGTGTCCACTTGTATTACCTTCAGTATCTCATTCAATCATTGCTCTGAAGTGTATCCGGGAAAGTGATAACTATATAAAGAGTAGTTAAAAACATTGATGTGATAACATAAATAATTATGTAAGAGATATTGTTTTATGTTTCTCAATATATTTCTTTTTTTTATTGTAAGGAATAGCTGTTATATATATATATATATATATATATATATATAATGTGTGTGTATGTATATATGTATGTACATATATATATATATATATATTCATATATATGTACATATATATGTATTTACATATATATGTATAGATATTTATGTATATATATATATATATATATATATATATATATATATATATATATATATATATATATATATATATATGAACAGGGGCACCTCAAGGCGGTGTAATGCTTAGCAAGCTTGGCTCTGCTAGAACAATTACAACTGAGTAGTGAGTTCGATCCTCATTGGGTGCTCCCTAATTTCGGCCTTTTACACATCTAAGCTACGCTTGGAAAATCACTATATATATATATATATATATATATATATATATATATATATATATATATATATATGTACATGTGTATATATATATATATATATATATATATATAATTACCAAGAATGTGTTTATAGAAAAGGCAGATAGAATCTACATTATGGCGGTGCAAGCGTGACTGAAGTTGAGATGCCAGGTTAAGACAAATAACATTTCGGATTCCTCTTTGGATTTTATTAAGAATGAATTATTCTTAATTATCATAACAGCGGCACCAGACCATATGTTGCAGCAATACTTAAAGACGAACGGTAGAGTTATGAATACGTAAGGTAGATTTTGCTGAGAAAAAAATGTCTAGCATGATATGGAGAACCACCATTCCTCGCAGGAGACCTCGTAGTTGATTCATTATAATCTTTGCACTTCATGCCTTAAAGTTAATCCAAGAAGATGCAACGAATCATTCTTCCGGAGTTTAGCCTCAGTTATGCGATGGAAGGTAAAATGAACTGGTCCACGAAAGAATTGAACTCACAAATACTGTGCCATCAATTTCACGACCCAGCATCTTAATCGAGTCATTCAGTTATGTGCCATGCGTGATACACGCTTAGGCGATCATGTATCTTTCGATACATGACCGACGAGGCAGATTTTTTTTCCCGCAGTAGGTTTCCATTTCTTTTTGCGGTAGACCAGTTGCCATCCATGTCTATAGAACCAGGTCTGTCCTGCTGTATACCCATAGCCAGAAGGGGAGAAGAAGAGGATTCATAACTTTCTCAAAGGTATTAGCACGTAAGTGAATATAATGGATTCGACTGGAATTCGAACTCGGCTCTACAGAATAAACACTGTGGAACTTTGTGCCCTGACCATCATTTTACGGGTGGTAGAGAAAAATGATTTCATACCCAGCTACCCGTTCAACGGTGGGTACACACTTGTAACAATTTTTCTATCTACCGTGAAATATTACATCCCAATTATTATTTGCAAATTTTGACTCAGGTGCTCAGGCAGAATGGTTAAAATTGTTCAGAAACTCGGGGCTCAAAGAGTTAAATAATGGTTGCAGTTCAAAACACATTTATTTTTTGTTACGACAAATTTTCCTCTATAATTTAGGAATATTTCGTATAGCTCTTGTTAATATTGTTCACTTAGATTCATTTGCAAAAGGAGGAATACTATCTACGAACGAATTGAACTCACGATTTCTGTGTCACCAAAATCACGACCCAACGGGTTAATCCACTAGACGAAATAAACACTGTTTAGACCTTTGATCCATGACCACCGCTTTCTCGATGGTAGAGAAAAGTGACGTAATGCCCAGCCACCGGTTGACATCGATTGGTACACACTTGTAACAATTTTTATATCTACCGTAAACATTACATCCGAATTATTTGCTAATTTTGACTCAGGAGCACAAGCAGAAAGGTTAATATTCTTTAGGAACTCTGGGCTCAAAGAGTTAAGAAATTGTTTTCAGTTCAAAAAATCTGAATGTTTATCCGAATGTTTACTCTTCATCTGTGTTTTTGTTACAACAAATTTTCGTCTATAATTTAGGCATATTTCATATCGTTCTTATTCATATTGTTCACTTAGTGCTGCTTCTTTCGCAAATGAATCTATGCTTGCACTGGTTCACGAAGAAATTGAACTCACAATTTCTCTGTCACCAAAATAACGTCCCAGCGGGTTAATCCACTAGACGAAATAAAGTGTTTAGCCTTTTGAGCCCAGACCACCGCTCCCCGGAGGTAGAGAAAAATGACTTAATGCCCAGCCACCGGTTGACATCGGTGGGTACACACTTGTAACAATTTTTATATCTACCGTGAAACATTACATCCCAATTATTTGCAAATTTTGACTCAGGAGCTCAGGCAGAAGGGTTCAATTTGTTCAGGAACGCAGGGCTCAAAGGGTTAAGTAATGGTTGCAGTTCAAAACACCTGAAAGTTTAATCTTCATCTTTGTTTTTGTTACGACAAATTTTCGTCTATAATTTAGAGATATATCATATAGTTCTTATTCAATGTGTTCTCTTAGTGCTCCTACTATTGCAAATGAATCTATGTTTGAACTGATCCATGAAGAAATTGAACTCACAATTTCTATGTCACCAAAATCACGACCCACTAATCCACGAGACGAAATAAAAAGTGTTTAGCCTTTTGAACCCAGACCATAGCTTTCCCGGTGGTAGAGAAAAATGACGTAATGGCCAGCCACCGGTTGAACAGTGGTAGAAAAAATGATTAGGGCCCAGCCACCGGTTGACATTGGTGGGTAAGCACGTGAAAAATTACATACCAATTATTCGCAAATTTTCACAAACTCAGGCATAAGGGTTAAAATTGTTCAGAAACGCAAGGCTCAACTGATTAAATAACCCCCCGAAGTGCTGGTATGACGGCATTCACCCGGGGTGGGTTGAACCGGAGTTTCACGGGAATTTGGAATTCACAAGCGGTCCCCATAGCACATTTGATTATAGTGGTGAAGATTTCGTGCAGGACCATCCACATTTTTTGAAGGGCCGAATACAGAGAGTAACCACAAGGTCCCCAAACGACCCTCCGCAGGTTTTGAATTCAGAGTTGTCCTTCTCCTAGACCAGTGCCATCCAAGGTTATAGAACCAAGTCTGTCCTGCTATTTACCCATAGCTGGGAGAAGAAGAGGATTCCCACCTTTCCCAAGGGTATTAGCACGTAAATGGATTCGACTGGAATTCGAACTCGGCTCTCCGATTCCTCAATCCAAGCCGCTATCCATTACTCCACCGTGCCTCCTATGACGCTAAATAAAAATAACTAAACAATCTTGCTTTCCAATCAAATAGGATTTTCAAAGAATTAAGTGCAGTGTCAATCGTTATATTTTTAATTCTTAAATCGTATTCTGTTATTGTTTTCGATCCTTAATAATTTTTTGCTTTTTCCATATTTTTTAAAGGCGGAAGTGCTACTAGCATGCAAGGGGTTGCAGAGGATTGTGAACAAGAGTAAAGAAGCGTGTTTGAGGAAGGGATAGAGAGTGGGTCAGGGAAGAAGCTCAGGGTGTCATATGTCGATTGACATTGCACTTGGATATTTGAAGATTATAGTCATCGGGGAAGCAAGTAAGGGAAAGGGAGTTACATAGACGGGAAGAGCGGGAGAAGGAGTTGTTTGAGAAGAAGAGACGGTTCCACTTAACCATTTTGACAGTGAAAGGGTGGGACCGAGATGCCAGCCTGGTAGCACATTTAAATTTATGAAATCCGGGAACCAGCAAGAGTAGCTCGTCGAAACAGTTGCCGCAAAAATATTTGAAGAAACAGAGGGAGGCCATTGCACGTTTGTGGGATAGCGATTGTAGACTAGATGTCATATCGTCTTGCATATTCGGCTCTGGATTTTGTCAAGGACATCGAGACGTATAGCAGGAGCACCAGATTATATATGACAGCAATATTCCATGCAAGGAAGAATGGTTGATTTATAGATTTGAAGAATGGACTCAGAAGAGAAAAACTTTCTGGCATGACACAGAGAGCCAACTTTCTTTGCGGTTTTCTTTCAAACTCAGTAACACCCCTTGCATCTTAGTGGATTTATTGCCTTATGTGATTAAAAAAAAATGTTCCACACCTAAAAACATTTGAAACAAAACTGCATCATCTTACTGAGTAGGATATTTTGGAAAATTAAAAACGAGGTGGGTGAAATCCCAAAAATTAACAATCAAGAAAGGAATTTGATTTGTTAGCCGGCAATAGTTTACTATCCAGTGGGCAATTATAGCGCTCCTTTTTTTTTCGTGAGAAGCATCAGATGTCATCTGTATTTGTAAATTCTAATTCTTTCAGTTTTCGTTTTCACGATATAATTAATTTTATTTCAGGGCAATGGGACTTATTACACCGGCAGATACTGTGAATGCGATGACTATGCGTGTGAATTGTTCAATGGCGAGGTATGTGGTGGTAAGTACTGTTTAACTATTTGCCAGTAGAGGCTGCAGCAGCTAGTGCTCGAGTAGGGAGTCAGGTGACGGGCCACGAGCAATTGTTTCCCAACAGACATGTGACGTTTTAAATAACTTTATAACAATAGGTTTCTAGACGCCATGTTGGACAAAGTATGTTATGGAAAAAAAGTTACAAAAAATAGAAAGATTGTGAAATGAACTTTATTAATGTTTTCGCGAAACTAGAATACAAACTGCAAATTTAAAAAAAAATACTTTATTCATAAATACAGAAATGTAAATTTCATAGGACCGGGTTATCTATCTATATGGTTATCTATCTATATATGTATATATGTATATATATATATATGTATATATATATATATATATATATATATATGTATATATATATGTATATATATATATATATATATATATATATATATATATATATATATATATATATACGTATATATATGTATACGTATTTTTATATATATATATATATATACGTATACGTATATCTATGTATATATATATATACGTATATATATATATATATATATATATATATATATATATATATATATATATATATATATATGTATATATATATGTATATATATATATATATTATATATATATGTATATATATATGTATATGTATGTATATATATAATAGGGAACGTATAACACTCTAAAATATTTCACTTTTATTAAAGTCTAGTCAGTGATTGAGAGAAAACAGACAAAAAGACAAAAAAACAATGGTATATTCAATTACTTTTGGGTCATTTCTCGTTGCCCAGTCACGTGTCACGTGCTTTAAAACCGTAGATAATTCTATGTGTATGTCGCTTTGATCGCTCAAAGGTGAACACAGAATAGCAGCTAGACAGACACAATCACAAATACACATCAACATCCGAAGCCCACTTAGACACGCAAAAATCTACATACGCATCCCTTAACTATAGCGAGAAGCAGACATTTCATAAATACTATCTAAAAAATTTATTTTCAAAAATCAGATATTGTATGTATAAAAGTGTATTTCGGCAGCAAGAATTCTCTCACTCAAACATGATTTTATTATTTATATAATCAATTATTTTATTTTATTTTTATATTTTATTATTTATTTGTATTTTTAATTCATTTATGAATTTTAAGTTTATACACACACATCTATATATATACATATGATAATACATATGCATATATATATATATATATATATAATACATATCCTATATATTTTTATATATATATATATATATATATATATATATATATATATGTCAGGTGATGGTGCTGAATGTTGAAAAAAATGGTTATTTTTGTAGTGAGTTTTTAACATATTTATGTTATAATTTTCGAATAAATAGTTATATTTGCTCTAATCTGTATTGAGCACTTTTTGAAGAATATTATCTTTTGGTTATTGGAATTTATTTCGTATACACCAATCCTATACTTGGATACACACACACACACACACACACACACACACACATATATATATATATATATATATATATATATATATATATATATATATAATCATATTTTTAATGGATTGATCCACTGTAGATTATAAATATGAAAAATTTTACTACGGTCAATTTTCAATTCACGCCTGATATTTTCTACCTGGCCACAGCAAAAGAAACAACTTGAGATACTAAAGAGAATTAACTGAAGCTAAAATATCTAGAAAAGGCATGGTATGTGGAATTAGAACAATCTCTCACGATGGACTAAGTAAAACCTTTAGTTCGAAAATTCAACATATATCACCCGAAGAAGGCTGAAGCATACAATGGCCGAAATGTCCTGAATATGATAATAAAGATGAGGACAACAGTCCGAACGATGTAAATGGTCTAAATAATTATAATTCCTAATTGATTAATTCTTATATTTTAATTCAAAGCGGTAATATATATATATATATATATATATATCCGGTGGCAATTCATCTCATTAGAGGATTTGAGGAGCGTAGAACCATATTTTAATTGCTGTTGTTCCCAGGTCCACCCTGACCCGGGATGGTAGCACCTGTTAGGGTCACAGTTATGGGTAAATAGTGTCTACCAGAGCTGTCTAAGCTCTTTAGTGTTATAGAACACGATTGGTCTAGGAGATGGAAAACTCTTACAAGAAAAACCTGAGGTATATTGTCTGCTTCGTCTGTGGCATTTATTACAGCGACTGAGTGTATCAATAGTTCCGAAAAGTGTGGATGGCTCTGCATAAGCTTCACCACGTTAATCAAATCATTAATGTGGGTTTTCTGGCGGTTTACCTTGATTCGTTCATTCTTATACTTGTCAGCTGTCAATATGCCACATAACACCTTTGAGCGCTTGGCCTTGGAGCGGGTAGAATGGGGATCAACGTGTTTTAGTAGACACTGCAGCTTTCAATCTTCTTGTCTGAATCATTGTCAAGAAGCGCGAGCAAGATTTAAAAGGTCAGCCAATCTAACAGTGATCTCATCTCACAATCATCACTCTTGCCCCATATGTGACCTCCTTAATCAGTCACTAGCGGGTCTTAAGTTCCACTTAGGATTATCGCACAAAATTTCATAGCTGAATCAATTAAGCTGTCAGATCCTCATACGTCGAAAACGACTGGAGAGAGTCCATTATATACATTTCTATGAAAATTTTCTCAGATATTCGGGCCGGTAAATGTTTAATACTGTTTATTATAAACAGAGCATTTACTTAAATATTTGTATCTATAAAAATAATGTATAAACATAAAAATGTCTTAAAAAATAATTGTTGAACTTTGTCCATTTCAATATATATATATATATATATATATATATATATATATATATATATATATAAATGCAAGGTTGGTATAGATTAAATAAACTTCCAGTAACCAACACCATTTTTTTCCGTTTTTTCTTTGAATAATTTTGTAAGTTTCTAAACATGATGCATGTTTACATTTAGAGTTTAATATGCGCAACTTTATTTTTTAATGACAAAAATATTGGAGATTAATTGTTTATCCTGATTTCCTATAAAATCTATACTTATTTTAAAGCATTAATAAATTGCAACTAGGGTCCATTATATACTTGCAATTTAATTGGCCATTACAGCTTGCGTAAAAATATTTGCCCCAGTGTGGGTAGTGTTTGGTTTTGAACTCCTTAAAATCTTTTTATTTTATTTGCAACACCATCACTTGTCAAGACACCAGAAGCGTTGAGACAAAATGGCTATTTTTGTAGAGTTGTTATAACATACTTTTTGTTAAAATATTTAAATAAATATTACATTTGCACAGAATTATACTATGTGCACATATATATATATATATATATGTACATACATATATATATATATATATATATATATATATATATGTATATATATATATGTATATATATATATGTGTATGTATATATATATATATATATATATATGTATATATATGTGTATATACATGTGTATATACATGTGTATACATACATGTATAAGATATGTGTATATATATATGTATATATATGTATATATATATATATATATGTATATATATATGCATATATGTGTATATAGATACATGTATATATATGTGCATATATATGTATATTTATACACGTTTCATTAAATAATATAGACAAGTGTTGTCTATTTATTTTATGTAAAATTTGTTCGTAATATCTGATAAGTTTGATGACATTATCATTAAACGAAGAAAGAAATACACAATATTGATCCATATTTTTTTAATATAATCTAAGCTTTCGGCTTACTTAAGCCATTATCAAAGATGTAAATTACAAACATATTAAACAATATACGGACACGAAAGTGATGATAGTCTGTCATTGTTTACATAGTTGATCACTAAGCAACGATAAATACGCGCATATAAGACGCTAGAAGCGAAAATCGCACCGCATCTCATGACGTCACACATGACTACACGAGAGTGAATTGGAGAATGAAGTAAGGAAAGCCGTTGGTATAAACCAATGGCTTCTGTTACCAATTATAGACATTTAAGAATATTTGTAGAAATGCCATAATTGATTTTGTTTAGGTTGGGTTTTAACTGTTTGATGTATAATGCTTCAACTATTTTTAGTTTTTGTCTATTGTTTTCATGTCGAAGTATAGTTGTGTTTTCGACAAGTATTTTACGGAATTGTGTGTACGGGCAGGCATATTGTTTTAAATGCCTAAAAATGTTAGAGTTTTCATTAAAATGTAGTGTCAAGTCGTGAAAGGAGTTTGTGGTGTGACCAACATAAATATTATTTAATTCGTTGGAGATACACTCTCCCAAGGGGCACTTGAATTTATAAACTATGTTGGTTTTTTGCAAATCGCTAACCGGGGGAGAAGAATCATTGCGAAGTATTAAGTTGGATATACTAGATTTAGTGTAGTATATGATTAATTTAATTTTTTTGCTAGGATCTGTAGTTGATATATTAGAATTTCCTAATTTTTTTAGTATATTTTCATCTTGTTTATAATTAGTATGCATTTGATTACGATATAGGAGATTAATATATTTGAGATCAGTAGAAGCAGTATTATGTACAATTTGCTTATTATTGAGATTTCTAAGAAAGCATCTTATTTGTTCATCAACTATATAGTTTGGAAAGCTATTATTAATAAGTGTCTGTTTTATATTCTTTAGTTCACTGTAAAAAATCTGTTTTGTGGATGAATTAGTTTCTGCACGATGTATTAGATTCTTTATAATTGCTATTTTGTAGTAATATGGGCATTCGCTCTTGTAGTTAAGTGTACATGAATTTATGCTTGTAGGTTTTTTGTATGGTGAAATAGTAAATTTGTTATTATTTGTGTTTATCAATATGTCAAGGAAGTGGATTTTATTATTAGTATTGAGTTCATATGTGAATTTTGGACAGAATTATATATGAATATATATATACATATATATATATATATATATATATATATATATATATATATATATATATGTGTGTGTGTATCTATATCTATCTATCTATCTATATATATATATATATATATATATAAGAAATGGACAAGGTCCGACAATTTATTTATTAAAGACATTTTTATGTTTAACGTTGTTATTTTATAGATACAAGTATTTAAGCAAATGCTTTGTTTATGATAAACAGTATTAAATAACATTTACCGGCTTGAATGTCCGAGAAATTTTCATAGAAAATGCCATAATGCCTGTCAAAGAACGAATATTTTCTATGAAAATTTCTCGGACATTCAGGCCGGTAAATGTTATTTAATACTGTTTATCATAAACAGAGCATTTGCTTAAATACTTGTATCTATAAATAACAACGTTAAACATAAAAAAAATGTCTTTAATAAATATATATATATATATATATATATATATATATATATATGGTTTTTCGCCAGAAATAATTCTCTGAAACATATTTTTTAAATAATATGAACAAGTTCTGTCTGTCTATTAATTTTACTAATAAATTTCCGGATAACTTGTTTGGTTTTATCATTAAATTTGTCAAAATTCATATTAATTTTTATTTTATGTTATTTTTCAACAAGTACTTTGGAATGTTACTCTATTCGTTTTTCGAATTAAAAATCAGTTGCTTACAATCCTTTCCGTAATAATGCTTTCCCAGTTTCTCTCATTGTCGGTAACTGCTTGCTCTTGGTGGCTTCATTACCTTCCTTGGAGTGAAATGATTAAAACATAAATATAAATATTAATGGATTTAAGTATCTATAGGATAACATCTTATGAACAAACAGATCTGATACATAAAAATTATGCCACATATTCATAGACAATATTCTTGAGAATGCTGCTATCGAATTTTACTAAAATATAAATCTCTGCCCCCGTCTCTTTCAAATATCTCCTTTCCTAAAAGATATACTCCTTTCCAAAGCCAACATACATGACTATAAAAACATTTAAAATTAAAAGAAAACTGCTAAATTTATAACATATTATTTAAAATAAATAAATGTCTAAATTAATTTCTCATACTAAAATAGAATAAAAATTATATTAAATCATATCAATGGCCTTCCATAGTTTCCCTAGACTTTCAGCTAGCCTGATATATATTGTGACCGTTGTTAAATTTAAAAATTTAGAAATCTGTTGAGATTTTTACTTCTGCTTATAAATACATGTTGCAAAAATAAAATCCTTACTGTTGCCTTGGTAAAGTCCATCAAAGGACGAAATTTATCTTTACGTCTGCAAAGATAATATTTTAATCTAGTCCTTATCCATACCAATTATATCCCGGTCCTAATTTAAGGTATTTTGATTAGTTAATATTTAAGCGGAAACCTAACTCCATAATACCGTATTATTAGCTGAAGATAGGCAGATCTTTTATGTTATCAGAAGACAAAGACACCTGGATTCTATCAGAAAAGTACTTTTGTTTCATATCTTTGGTTTTTTTTTTTGTTTCTTTTTTTGTTTATTTTTAGGTCGCGAACGTGGAATTTGCTCTTGTGGGAAATGTCGTTGTCGTTATGGTTTTTTTGGTCCTGATTGTTCCTTAACCAAAGAAGATGAACAATGTCTTACATCAGACGGGGTTAGTGTTACGGTTTATTACAGCTTCCATGATTCTTTTTTTTCTTCTATGTCCATGTCCCTTCAGGATGTTGGCGCTCATGGCTCTCCACAGTTTCCTGTTTCCTCTTAATAACTTTTTGTCTATTTGTTATCTCTCCTAAACTCTGTTTCGCCATCCATTAACTCAAGCTCCCCAAGGAGGTTATGCGATGTTTTTCCCTTGTCTATCTTGCCATCAGTCTGTTCTGTAAGTATCAAATTTTTCGATACTTAATTAAATATTTAACAAGTTTAACGTAGTGTGACACAAGGTCTGAAAACGGAGCATCAAGACGTTGATCGAACTCAATATACAGTAGTAAGAGCCTTGTGTACAAGCTCATTTACTACATGTAATTCGTATCGGCATTTACAATACTATGTCTAGCATAAGGCTAAGAATTATAAGTTATTGTTATTCGAACTAAGAAAACAGTAAAAATAGAAGTAACCAATAAGATCCAAATATTAATGGCGTAGTCGGAGAATTAAAACTTCATTCCCATAGAAGGAACATTTATTGTTCATCCATTACTAAAGAACCCTTTTTGAATCCATATAATATATGGTTTCTGATGTTTGCGAGGTCGTCTATAACGACTTTTACGAGCGCGTCAGTAATGGCAAACGCGTTTAGGAAACTTTCATTACTGATAGAATTTACTTAAAGGAACGATTAATTAGCTTATCTTCATACCCTGCGTGGTGGCAAACGCTGCTGGTGGCGCCAGGGGTGGCGGTCCCGCCACAGCCACCGAAACCGTGATATCACCCTTGGTCGGCGGCTGATGAAGACAGGGTATCACACGTGCTAACACACGTTGTATGTTAAAAAAAATTGGTCTGACCTAAACTAATTTTAAAAGAGTTAAATTTGATATTAAGTAATCCGCAAATAAAAAAAAAAAAGATAATAGCTAATTTTGTCTTTTTTATTATCTCTCCTAGCCCCTGTTACACCATCCAATTGCGCAAGCTCGTAAGGCAGGTTGTGCGCTGTTTTCCTCTGTCCATCTCGCCTTCAATCTGCCTTGTGGGTAGCAAATTTTTAAGCCCCTTTTTCCTCATTATATACCACAGAAATTTCAACTGTCTCTGCCTGATATTAATTATAAGTATCCCTTTTGTTTCCACTTTCTTTAAAACTTCGTCTTGGTCTCATGATCAGTCCATGATATTCTCAGCATCCTTCTATAGAACCACATTCCTGTTTTTTTCAAGTGTCTTCTTTATATGTGAGGAAAGTGCCCAGCATTCACTGCTATATAGGAAGACTGATACTTCTTATGCCTTCAGTACTTTGTTCGTTTGTATCAACGTTTTTCTGTTTCTTAATACTTTGCTAATTTTCTTTCTTATGAACATTAAATATCCGTCAACGGTATTTGCATTGTTCGGATTATCGTCATCATCTTTGTCGCCATATTTATCACAACATTTCGGCCGTTGTACGCTCCGGCCTTCTTCAGGTGGTTGGAATATCGAACTGATCCCTTTATTTCGCTCGCTGGGGTAGACTGTTCTAGTTCCACGTGTCATGTCTAATGGATGTCAGTTATCAGTTATCTCCTGTTAATTCCCCTCTCCAAGTTCTAAATATGGTAACAAAGATGAGGACGATAGTCCGAACAATGTAAATAGTGTACATAATACCTCATCTCAGAAATATAGATAGATACTGAAAGGCCAAAACGTTGTGATAAATATGGCAACAAAGATGAGGACAATAGTCCGAATAATTTAAATAGTGTACATAATACCTAATCTCAGACATATAGACAGATACTGAAGAGCCGTAACGTTGTAATAAATATGGCAACAAAAATGAAGACAGCTGTCCGAATAATGTAAATAGTGTACATAATACCTCATCTCAGAAATATAGACAGATACTGAAGAGCCGAAACCTTGTAATAAATATGGCGACAAAGATGAGGACAATAGTCCGAATAATGTAAATAGTGTGCATAATACATCATCTCAGAAATATAGACAAAAATTCATCAACGGTATAAGCATTATTTTTTGTTTTCAAAATTCTTATCGACATTATGATTTCCAAACTCCCGCTGTTTCAATTTTGTTAGAAACAAAGAAAACGCCAACTCAACTGTTACATGATATAAGTTATCCCATAGGGCAGAGAATGCTAGACAATCTCCTCAGAGATGAAACAGAAAACAACAGAAATCTCAGAATACCGAGAATAATATTTGTGAAACGGCGAAGTTTTAGAGAAAATTGAAACAAAAAGGACACTTGTATTTAACATCAGGAAGAGACAGTTGAAATTTCTTGGACGCATATTAAGGAAAGAAGGATTGGAAAATTTGATGCACACGGAACGGATTGGAGGTAAGATAGAGGCAAACAACGCATAACCTACTTAGTGAGCTTTAGTAAATGAATGACGCAGCGAGGGGTTTAGGAGAGATCGCAAAAGGGCAACATTTATTAAGAGCTACGTAGGATAGGACATTTTTCAGAGTCATGATCGCCGATGACTTGAAAGGAAATGGCACATAGAAGAAGGTGTAATTGGTGGATTTAGCAAGAGATCAAGAGACAGCAAGTCACCTCAACTCTCCTAACTCTCAACTCAATTGATGAACACTCTTCCTTGGATGACTTTCGTTTTTTCTTAGACTTCGAGTCCTTCTGTAAATTTCTTTGAGACTCTTGCAAACAGTCGAATAATGGTAATTAAAATCGTCAATGTAATGTTCCACAATTTACTCAAAAATTTTGGGTACTATCAAATATATACTTGTAAAATATAAAAAACATATTTGCTTTGAAACGTGCGTCGAATGTTGAAACACATCGACTGAACTAAGTATACTTTTCCTATTTTCTTTTCATTCATTTTGTCTTTTCTACAGATATAGTCTATCTGAGAATATTTACACACACACACAGATATATATATATATATATATATAT